GGGAAAGAGGAGGTATATAATAGATATTGCCTTTGTCTTATTTCTAAAATCATAGATGTATTGTTGCCTCTTAATTGTGATTATTTTGTTTTCCAGGCCTAGATGGGCACTTGTGGACAAGACATACATGCACAGTACATGGAGATCATCTCAGTCTTCATATCATCTGTTTCGTATGAGTGGGAATGTCTCTCCTTCAGACCACTTGACTCTTTTGATCGATGATCTTTTGAGCCTCTCTCTGCAGAACTATGAGACAGTTCGAGTGTGAGTACCTTGAATGAATAGTTGCAACAAGTCTTTAATTTTGAGAAACATCTCAGTTTTTTTTTGGTCCAGAATTTTGTTAATCATTCTATGGAGCTTTATTGGCCTTTTTCGGTTCACCTATGAATCCTTTCATTGGTCATATCTGTTTTGGCATTGAATTCTTCTATGTTGCTTCAGTCTTGCTGGAAAATCTTTGCTGAAATTACTCAAGCGATGGCCGTTGCTGCTTCCTAAGTGCGTGCTCTCCCTTAGTGAGAACTTCCGAAAACCGGATGCACCAGAGAATGCAGTCCTTGGTTCCTGTAGCTTACTCTCTTCACACATAGTTCTCAAGCATTTGATGACGGTAATCATCTAGCAAAGCTTTGTCTTGCCTATTTTCGATTGGAAAGCTTATGTTTATTCTGCTACTCTCAGGATCCAAAATCATTTTCCACATTTATACTTGGGATTCTCTCAAGGTGAGTTGCTTTAATTTATGAAGATCATGCATTTAGCTCTTGTTTCAAAGACTTGACTCTGATTTTTGCCCTTTTTAATCTTTTGTAGCTCTCATCACGAGTCAATGAAAGCCCAAAAAGCAATCACTGAAGTAAGGGTTCTTTCTTTGTAGCTTGTGATCTTGGTATTTTTTCTTTGTGTGAGATTTATTTCTTTCTTTTTGCTGGCAGCTTTTTGTCAAGTATAATATTCACTTTGCTGGACTGTCCAGAAGCATTCTTCAGTCATTGGACAACCTTGCAGATGGTCCTAATTCCGGAGATCTGGTTTCTCAAATTTGTTCCATGAGTTTTGATTCGTCCAGCTTGCATTGGCGGTATGTATCTATACTACCACTAACTAAATTTTACCTAGATTTTTTTTTTTAAATTCCTGAGCTCTCAGATTTACAATCTCTAAGGCATGGAGTGATTGTGTGTTTCTTTGTATGTCAGGTACAATTTAATGGCTAACAGAGTACTCCTTCTGTTAGCTATGTCGTGTGAGGGAGGGGAATCGAATATGGAATCATCTTTAGCTTGATCTTTTTTGAGTGAGATATGTTATTTATCATTTGCTTGCTCATAAATGTGATGGTGTTATATTTTTAGGAATGATCCAGATTTCTCCTTCAGAATCCTTGATGAAACTGCTGGTACTGAATTTGTAGTTTGTTCACTGTTTCCCTGGAAAAATATATAGGAAATGTTCTCTCTATGTTAGTTCAAGTATTCCTTTTTAACTTTGAACATGTTGGTATTTCCCAGGCCACTTCTTGAAGAACTTGAAAAGTCAACTTCCTCAATCAAGAATACTTGCAATTTCTGCACTAAATACACTATTGAAAGAATCACCTCATAAGATGCAAGACAAGGATCAGCCTTCCATGTCTTTGCATGGAAACGTCAACTCATCCCTTGATTCTGCATTGAGCCAAATTTTTCTGGAAGAAGGGTTCTTCAAGGAGACTTTTGATAGCCTCTCTCATATTCATATTACCGACAGCGAGAGTGGATCCTCCAGAAACCATGGAAGTTCGTCCTTGCAAAGCATGGCAGACAAGTCAATTACTCGTTTCTATTTCGAGTTTTCAGCATCATGGCCAAGAACTCCTAGTTGGATATCTTTATTAGGACATGACATATTCTACCCTAGTTTTGCCCGTATCTTCAAGCGGTTAGCACAAGAGTGTGGGGTGCCAGTTTTGTTGGCGTTAAAAGGCCCTTTGGAGGAGTTTGCTAATGCCAAGGAGAGGCCTAAACAGTGTGTTGCTGCTGAAGCCTTAGCCGGTTTATTGCATTCTGATGTTAATGGCCTTGATAGTGAATGGGATGACTGGATGATGGGTAAGTTGCAGAATGTAATTCTTGGCCAGTCCGTGGAATCCATGCCGGAGTGGGCTGCTTGTATACGTTATGCTGTCACGGGGAAAGGGAAACACGGAACTAAAATTCCCTTCATGCGGCAACTGATTCTGGATTGTCTAGTGGCACCGTTACCACCAGCTGCAACCACCACTGTCATTGCAAAGCGGTATGCTTTTCTTTCGGCTGCATTTATAGAATTATCCCCTCAGAAGATGCCGGTGTCAGAAGTGAAGCTCCATATCTTGCTTCTTGATGAGTTGATCGATAACATGGCCCATTCCTCTGCCCAAGTAAGATTCTCGTACTTTGTGTTTGCATCTGACCCTTTTTTGACATGCTGGGGTCGATATAAAGTGTAAAGTGGCTTCTGAACTTACTAACACTTTTTTCTGTTTGTGAATGAAAAGATAAGGGAAGCTATAGGTGTCACTCTTTCGGTATTGTGCTCTAACATTCGGCTGCGGAGGTCATATCTGCAAGGTTATTCAACCGAAATGGAAAAAACGGACGTCAATAGCCAGCTACAGGAGGAAAACTGGTTTAAGTTGCTGACAGAAAGAGCATCTGAAGCTCTTACGAACGTTCAGAAATCTAGCGTATTGGACAGCATGGAGATTTCAGCGTCTGTAGATATGGAGAATTCTCACCTGAATGGTGATTCTCGGGATGATGTTAAATGGATGGAGACGGTACTTGCCATTTCATCCGTTTTCAGGGTGTTCCCTTTTTCTTCCTCGGTTTCAGGCTTATAACTTTTAACACGCTTTAATGTTTTCTCAATCATGTGTAGCTCTTTCACTTTATCATATCGTCTTTGAAGTCGGGAAGGTCTTCATATCTGCTCGATGTTATCGCAGGACTCCTCTCACCCGTCATATCCTTACAGGTACCTCCATAAAATTTGTCCTCTTTGTGCTGAATTTAACTGTTGACTTGATTGTTCTTGTGTTTATCTCTTGCTCTCTGAATCTCTCAAGTTATTTTTGATCCTCTGAAGGAAACTTCGAATAAAGATCTGTCTACTTTGGCTAAGGCGGCCTTTGAGTTGCTGAAATGGAGGGTCTTTTCAGAATCTCATCTCCAGAAAGTTGTTACGGTCATTCTTTCTTCTGCTGAAGATTCTAATTGGCGGATAAGGTCTTCGACCTTGACATATCTCAGATCTTTTATGTACAGGTAATGTGCATCGTCATATATATTTGGATCCAGTTCTTTGATCTAATCTTTTTGGTTTACTATCCCATCTTTAAACATTGCGGTAGTAGTCCATTCAGACATCTTTGTTGCCAACACTTGTCTGTTTCTAACCGAGCATTTTTTAAATAGGCATACTTTCATCCTCTCGCATGAAGATAAACAAAAGATCTGGAAAACCGTGGAAAAGCTCCTCGTTGACAGCCAAGTGGAGGCAAGTTGTTGTCTTTGCTTTTTTCTTTTCCTTTTTTCGTCCTCAACAGAATCTGTTGCTCAATCTTGTGTTCATCACCCCCATGTCTGAAACTACAGTCTAAGTCATGTATATGTATATATAGATTTTTCATATAGAATTCTCACTCCCTGCCAATTTATCTTCTCTAATTCAGGTAAGAGAGCATGCTGCAGCAGTTTTAGCTGGCCTTATGAAGGGAGGAGATGAAGATTTTGCTAAAGATTTCCGTGACAGAGCTTACGCAGAGGCAAACTCCATCCTAAAGAAAAGAAACCGCAGGTTTTTTCTCTTTATTCCTATTGTTCTTCCTTTAACCTCTTTCATCTTATAATACGTTGCATGCATATAACAACGGATAAATGCAATGACTTAATATGGGTATTATAGCGTGTGGGGTCGTAACTCGTAAGCATATATCCTTTCAACCTTTCCGGACTTGGGGTGGTAACTAATCACCTTTGTCTTGCATCACTGTCTTGAACCTAAAGGAAGCTTCGGTCTCGATGCTAAATCAAATTGAATTTTGAAGACTTTTACACATTGTGGTTATAACATTTCCATCATGAAAAGAATAGAACGGTAACGCTGATTGCACAACCACATGTGCATATATATACACACACATTGTCATGGCATATCATATGTCAAAACTGCGGTTTCAGGAGGTCGAGTTCGAGCCAGTCGGTCCCTGAAGTGCACGGGGCTGTGCTTGCTTTGGTAGCTTCTGTCTTGTCTGTTCCTTACGACATGCCCGGGTAAAGATAAAGATATTACTGTCCCTGACTTCGAGCCGATTTTAGTAAAATTTTAGGGTCTGCCAAATATTGGGAAAAAAAAAGATGTCGGGTTTGAACCCAAAAATTTGTCGGAAAAATCACAGGTGGTTGCCGGACCACGTGACATTACTGGCACGTTTCGCCGGAGAACAGACGCCTATAAAATCGACGGTGACGAAAGCAGTGGCAGAATTCAGGCGTACACATGCAGATACATGGAACATCCAGAAAGACTCCTTTACTGAAGAACAGCTTGAGGTAATGAATCTATTTGTTTTTTTTTTTTAAAAAGGCTTTTTTTTTCCTTGTCTGGTTTTCACCGATGAAAATGTGGGTTTGTTCGAATGTTTGGCCCACAGATATTGGCGGATACATCGTCTTCATCCTCCTACTTTGCTTGAAAAAGACCGAAGACAGAAACTATGAAGCAGTCGTCGTAATCTCTGTTGTTTGTTTTTAGTGTTCTTATTCAGTTGATTTTAAGACGAAGGAGACTGTCCGTCTGCTTGGTTGTGTGCTTCTTAAAAATGCTAAGTTACATATATGTATGCTTCATTTGTACAATCATGGATATTTATGTAGTAAGTCTAGTACCCAAGCCGTTTATCCGATTCTCTGGGAGATCTAGTCGGGCAGGCTTGTGTACTGAAAGGTGTCTTCTTTTTTACTTTTAAACGCTATAAAAAAACACTTTTGAAATTTTACATGGATGCATATCCGTAAAGATTGGATTATTATCATATAAACATACAAAGACATTAATTAACTAACCAGAATCATATACGATTTGGGATTTTTTTTTAAATCAATTTTAAACTGTTGCAAAAAAAATGGGACCGTCCCTTTCCCAGTGTATAGTTGTAGCCTGTGAACGGAGATAATTTTCGCTGTTTCCTCCTCTCTCTCTCTCGTCAAGAACTCACTCGCTCACGATCTCTTCGTTCCCCCCCCCTAATAAGAGCTTTTGCCGACTTGAAACTCGAATTGGGATAAAAAAAACGATTCGGATTTCTTCTAAATTTTCCGATCCG